CAATGTAGATTTTTAAATCTGGCTAGAGCATTTCCAGCTAGATTTGTATCACACATGCAAGACACAATCAAATTCATCAATAAAAACGCACAATTATCTTTTAATACTTCTTTGTAAATTGAGAAGTGTACACTAGTACTGCTCACCTCATGCAAAGACTGCATTCAAAGTCCTCCGCATCAATAAGATCAGGTGATGGTTCCTTCAGCTTCCCTTGTTGTTTGGCACCTACAAAAACAAAGAGCATTTTATGATAAATATCTCTTCATGAATATGTACAATATCAGGCTTAGCTTTTAGCTAGGATTTTTTGTTGTGTGTCAATTTTTTTATTGTATGTGCGCAAGCAGCTCAGGCACAAGCTTTTAGTGGGGCTTTTTTGAAATTTGTAATGCTCTCAAACACTACTTCCTGCATTTTGAGGTGAAAATGTCAGGACTACAGGCTGCAGGCAAGTTTTTTTCCCCTTCCTGAAGGCTAAAGTGGATTGGGCATCTTTAGGGTGTCTTACCAAATGTAGGTGGTCCTACACAATACAGGGAGTCCAAAAGACACCCAGACAACCCCCTAGTTAAAAGCCTGTACAACATAGCCAAAGCCCTGTAATACATTGATGCTCTCAGGCGTAACCTATTCACACACCTATGGCTATGTTGAACAGACTTCTGGTCTGTTAAAAATCTTCCCTTACCACGTTACCCAGTTTCAGAAGGATATTGTGTTTTATCTAACCATTGCTAGAATTATTATTAAGTTTCTGCATCTTTTCATATAGCTCTACCGAGACCTTTTATACCAGACAATAATAATCTGCTCCAGCCATGCACATAATGTACAATCCAACGTGTACGTGCAAGTGGCCACCTATACACCCCCATGAAACTCCTTCCTCTTCGCCCCCGCCGTTCTACTTCGCCCCCGCCCCGTTCTGCTTCGCCCCCGCAAAAAATCTGCTTCGCCCCCGTCGTTCCTCTACGCCCCCGGCGCAATTCTGCTTTGCCCCCGTCCTTCTGCTTAGCCCCCAATGGCGGCACAGCTCACAGTCGACACGAAAATCGTCTGCAAAATAACAATAAAGGCTGTGCCGCCAAATTTAAAGTAGCCCATGCTCCGGCAAACATTCTGGACCACCTTTCTGCCAAGTGGCGTTGCACAAATCCTTCCCATTCAAAAGTTTACCCCTGCCTCACGGCCCGTCAGTGGTTCTTACGTTTATAAGTACTGGCGTTTATAAGTACAGCCGTGAGTGAAATTTCCCGCCAGTACTTATAAACGTAAGAACCACTGACGGGCCGTGAGGTAGGGGTAAACTTTTGAATGGGAA